TCTCTCTCTCTCTCCTCTCTGTCTTTGTCTCTCTCCCTGCGTCCCTCCATCCCTCCTCCCATTTTTCCCTCTCCCTCTCATCCTTATCGTCACCCCCCTCACTCTCTCCATGTCTCTCACCCTTTCTCACCATCCACACCTCTCCCTCCCTCTGTCTCTCTTTGTGTTGCCGAAGAATACAGAAGAAGGAAAAATATTTCAGGAAAGACAAAGAAAACACAGCTTACATAAAAGATCTGCTAATGTACGGAGCCAATAAACAACGAATGACAACCCCGTAACGGTTCGCAGACTTTGATTTTGATACATTTTGTTTTTATCAGACCACAAATGAGACAATAATTAGCTACCTAGTGTGGAGTTACCGGTTTACGGAGGTGGGCGCGGTTTCATCTAAACTATCTTAACAGATAGATATCAGTATGAAACCTCCTCAGTTGATTACTTACATTTTATGTTTAAATATGCAAATAAGACTTTTGGAGAAATCTACAGAGGCAAGTGGATGCAGTGCAGTAAAAAAAACAGCTAAATGTGTATTTGGGGCATTTTCTTTCCACTAGTCTGAGAGAAGAGATGTTATGGAGGCAAAATAGCCCAAAATCTCAAAACTGCCCAGTGCCTGGAAAAACTGTTCTTGCCGCCAATCAAATCCTTTGAATTAGGTCTTTGGTGCTTGGTGAATGTTGGCTGGACGCCTCGAGGAGACAGCAGATCAGGGGAGAGGGCAGGTGCTCTTCACCTCAGGGTGCTAGACACCCACACTCCCGCCCCCACCAACCCACCACCTTCCTCAGCCAATCAGACGCTTGGTCACCGGCCACCTCAAAGCCATAACCACTGACAAGAAATCCATAAATCCTGCCGGGTTACCGTCTCCTGCCAACACCCACAGAGACAGAGCTCAGAGTGTGTCTCCACTAAGACGACACATTGTGATTCAAGGTGAGTCTATCAACATAAATCACATCTTAGAAGATACTCGGAGGATGCTCTGAGACTGGAAGAGCTCTGGGTGTTGGCACTGACTCTGAAAAACATCAGACAGCAAACTGTGACTGCAAATGAGGTTTGTATCTCACACTCCCACCTCCTCCCCCCTCCCCTGAAAAAATCATTTAGCGATAGATCAGAAGAAATAACAGGAGTCATGTCGGTGTTTTTATCTTCCTCATTAAAAGCTGCCGTGGATAGAATTAAATATAAAATTAAATATATATATCTATATATATATATCTGTTCAATAACTAATGCAAATACCTGTGGATTTTTAAATCTAAAAAAGAAACAATCTGCAACCTATTAACCGTTTAAGAAGTTGCAGTGTCACACTTTCCACTAATCTCACAACGTGATTGTTTGGTTAATTCTCCAGTCAGTGCCCTTGACCATCGCACTGGATCAGATCTGGAGTTGGTCCCTGGGTGCTGTGGGGTGGCTGCCCACTGCTCCCAGTAAAAGTCTAAAGTTTAAAGTCCCCATGAAGTCGAAATTGATGTTCCTGTGTTTTTATCACCTGTCTTGAGCTATGAGTCCCAACAATGACACAAAGTATTTTTCAGGTATTTTCAGGTATTCTTAATGGTATTTTACAGTTTCTTGAAAAACACTAAAGGCAGTTGATGACTCATCCTGCACCCGGGGGCGTATACTAATGCTGCGTCCAATGAAGCACTTTCTCTCTTATGATGCAGACAAAGGACCTCTGAAGTCCTCCGGCTGCTCAGCTTCAACTCTCTGTGATTTACAGAGTTTCCTGATGGACAGATAGCTTTAACTAAAGTAGCTAACCGCTAACTAGCTGCTGCTAACTATGTCTGC